AGTTTAAATAGTTTCTGTACTAGGTGTAGTCTCCAAAAACAAGGCCATTTGAATACTTTGTAAAGAGTCCTTTTAAAGGTAAGGCAGTTGAAGCAGAAACTTTAACATGCAATTCCTGTAAACAAAATAGTTTAAACAGATATTTAGTAATGTGTGGTCCATATCTGCTGTACCGTACATCAGAGTTAACTTTAAAATGTAATTGTCTGTAACGTAATTTCCTTAACTGTTTTTCAAGGAAGTAAATCATTAAGTATTTTAGTTCATACTTTTTGATAATATTTTAAAAGAATAATATTAATTAACAAGTTTCATAAGCTACATCAACCAATGCTTGAAATTTCTAAGAACAACCGCTTCGATGTAATCGTTTAGTTACTAACTAGAAATTAGTATAAACAAGTTCATGAACTGATCTTCTTCATTATTTTATTCATACTTAAGACATAAGATTATGTATTTAAGAGAATGTATTCGAAACAGATTTATAATAAGAATACATTTTTGTGGCCTAAAGTAAAATTATAGCTTTAAATTCTAGAACAATTATATTTAATTCTAAAAAACAAGAACAAAGAACCAAATGATACATATTCACCAGTTGTTATGTGCATACGTTTATGAACTTTATAATTTAAGTTATTTTCTCATCCATTATCATAAACTAGCATATGTCTGTTGAAACAATTCAACGGCCATTTTCCTGAAAATATAGATGAATAAGTATAAAATGTGCAATCAACCTAATTCCTTGTATCATAGTGCATATGCAATATCATAGTAGACCATTTTCAACCGTATTTTGTCATTCCATATATTATTTCAATAACGAAAATTCCATTGCGTTTGTTTTAAAGCAAAAGGAGACTGAATACAATGCAACGTTTGCAAAAATCTTTGGTAGTTGATGTAATGAGTGCACTCAACAAACTAGAGCGGTCAGCTTCACTAAGTAGCCGTTGTGATTTTTTCCGCTGGGTGCCATCGTTCCTTGTCATTTACTGAGCGCAAGAAAAGACTGTTACCGAAGCTAGTGCTTTTTGGCAGTTGTCATTTCTATAAGAAGTGTCAAAAGGGAGATATTCAATTCAATTTACTCTAGATTGTAGAGTAAAATCATGCATGTAGATAATGCCAACATGAATATATATATATATATATATATATATATAAACCGAACAACGAATTCAAACACTTTCCTCTCTTTATGCGGTTTTTCCGTACATTCTCCTATCCTCAATATATTTCTTTCAATCACTCGACGGAGGAAGTCCCGGTTTGTTTTTCATGAAATGTCTTCACAAAAAGAAAGAGTTTTGCTCTTAATAAGTTCTTTTCTCAGATCGACCATTCAGCACATACGAAGTCTGACCGATTGATGTTGATATCGATATGAAATTTTAGGAATGGCAAAATATGAATAATTTTCCTGCAATGTACTCATAGTGTTTCATGTAAAAATTCATAATTATGCTAACTAGAGTTTCCATAGAGCTGGCACATACACTGCGAACTTTTGAGAATCAAGTATATATTGTATATAATTTAACTGAACACTTTTTTGTGTGTAGTATTTCCTAATAATTTTGGCCAATTTATTGATTTTTCACCTTGATTGCTCGTCGCTAACATTAACATTTATTTCAGTTATTTGTATGTTAGTTTATATAATAATAATTTGGGTTGCGTACTTCTACTACTAAAAAAATAAATAAAATGTTGTTTTGGATTATTTAATTTTATTTACTTTCAGGTTGGGCCAGCACCAGGAAACAAGCCAATCAGAAGTCAGGCGAATTTGACAGTGTTAGGTATGTAAATTGTTTTTACGTTTAAATAGCATTATATTTTAACAATTTTGGTGATCTTTTATTAAAGGTAGATACATGTAAAATATATGTATAATATTTATTATATTATCTAATTAGGCTTTCTAATAAGACACTGCAGAGTATTATCGGATGAACAGTATTTAAATCTTAATTAAGAACATCAATACATGTTCTCAGTTTTGAAAATGGGTCATATTTAATGCTTTCCTTTTACCTTTCACCTTATTAGCTTGCCCACTTGCTTATAATTATTACCTTTGTTTCTGACACGTAGGTTTATTTAAGTCAGACCCAAAAGTACCTTTCTCGGAGTTTTTAATTGATTGCTTATTAACTAGTTATATCAAACAGTTATATTTTCATAATTCTTCACGAAAAAAAAAACGCGTAATATTATCAACCGATTTAAACCAAAACCTTTTGTGTTGTTATCGTATTTCTTGCTAGAAAATCTTATGATATATTTATATGTGGTAAATATTTCATATCAACAAGGTGTATATTGCCATGGTATCATAGCATCGTCAAGAAAAAATATATGAGTAGTCAGTTTCTACTTATAAGAGTTGAAATTCAAGTGCCTTGTTTGTGTATCATAGATAACGTTTTGAAGTTATGAATGCTAGTACCTCTTATATTCACTCGGAAAGGTATTTCCATTAGATCGAGTTCAATTTCAAGAATGATACCTAAGCCTTTGAAGATTATTGGTTATGCTCCATTCCAATAGGTTTAGTTTTTGCATTGGTGCACAGTTCCCAACCCATAGCTAACTTAAAGAAGCAGATTATTTTTCTCTTTCATTGTGCTATAATTATTCACTGTACCCTAAACCGAAAAACTTGGTATTTTATATAAAGAAAACGTATTTCAGTAGTGCCTTAATTCTGGCACATATTTAGTGTTTATTGGACTCTTTGCCAAATACTTCATGCTTGATCTTACCGTGAATTTTTTATTTGCCATTCCTTTATCTGCATTTTTGTGCTTGTTAATGAATATCAAGAATCTATTCCTAGATACAAAGAGTTCTAAACACAAAAACTATTATTATATCATAAATTATTGCGTTATGTGTCACTTTTTATTATACACTACAATTCTGTCATTACAGCACAGAAACATAATACAATATGAGTTTTCTTAAGAATGAAAATTAGTGCCTTAAAATATTCTTACTAGTATGAATCACAAAAGTTGCACATTATGTATTAAAATTTGTCAAATAAGACTGGATTATCTGAAAACAAAAACACGGACTTATTCGGTTTAAATAAATAATTAATTGCCTCATTAATAATTGAGTAAATAAAGTAACATTAGATTAATGAAATTGTTTAGAGATGCTCATACTAAGTACTTTTAAAGCAATATTCCGGCAAAGGAACCAAAAACTTGAAATGGATAGAAGTTCAATGTGTTATGAACTTTTAATTTTTCATGTAATCGCGGTACACCTCTTATGTTTTGACTAAAAATTTACTGTTTTGTCTTTTTACAACTATACAGCTCCCCGCTTAAAACAGATTTTCATCCACGTACTGGGCAGAGCAATGCGTAGCACGATTTGTATCGTTATAAGCCCTCAGACTTACTGCTGAGCCACCAGGAGGGTTAAAATACGTATATACATTCTAATTTTTAAAAGTATCTGCTAGAACATTTTGACTTAATGTTTTCACTCAAGAAAAAGCTCTTAGACAACCTCGATATAAAAAACTCCATGTTTAACGTTCTAGTAATTCTATAACATTTTTACCCCGGCTGAAAAAAAAACAAAACGATCAAATCTAACATCACGTTGATATTGTTTACCATAGAAGAGACAGCAAATTCATTTTCTTTAACATCATCTTTGTCCGTCACATATGGACTTAGGTTGAACCATTTTTTTTCCCACGGTCAGTTACCGTCATTCGATCCCTGATGGGGCAAATATTTAAAATGTTATTTATAAGGAAGTTTTATAAACAAGTTTTCCAATATTAATTCGATAGTTCTTAGTTTTAGACTTGCAGTACCACAACTCTGTATATTTTGTCGAATTTCGACATGTTCCACTAGCATAATAATATGATTTGGAAAAAACTGTTATCCGTCCGTCCGTTGCGTATGAATATGAAAAACAATATAAAGAGAAGAAGAGATACGCAATATATATATAGATGTAAGGCTTATTAGCACTAGAAAATATGACTTTATAACACCAAATTGTTATTCTTATTTAATTAGACACTCAACGTTTCGCTTTACAACTTTTTCAGGAGCGTTCACTAAAACACAAACCGAAAGAAGCTGTAAAGCGAAAAGTTGAGTGTCTAATTAAATAAAAACAACATTTTGGTGTTCTAAGCTCGTTTATTTCTAGTATTAACATGTCTTCTATACATCAATATGCACTAAAGAAATTAAATAATGAGACGCATTGCTTACTAAGAACGACTCTTATGGATACATGTTCGTTTCTGTGTGTATGCGTTACTTAAATTTAATTTAAAAAACTTTTTTCAATTGCTAAATTTTTAAATCATAATTTCATGTAATGCTTTAGCATCAAAATGATGTATAAAAATCAATATTTAGAGTATTATTTATGTTGTCTTATACTAATAAAATATGTTATTTTTTATATTATAAATTAAATTGACGTACATTAAGCATGTTTTGTTTTTATTTGAAAATGGAATATTATAAAGTCGTTTTGCTGTTAATAGATGTATCAACAAGGATGACTAATCAAAACCTTTGAAGGTGACGTGAGTACTCAGAGTATCAACATTGCCGAAAATGGTTTTACTTTTAAAAGAATTGAAGAATTTATATTAGTGATCAGATATTCGATTTTGTGTGATTAGATAAGAATGCGAATTAAGTGAAATACCACAACTTAGTATATTTTGTCAAATTTCGACCAGTTCTACTGATATATATATAAAACCCATCGTTAAAACATAACGCTATTTATCTCATTTAAATAAATTTTGCAAATAACATTTGGTGTCTTTGTTGCCACCCAATTTTTATGTTTTTAAATTTAACAGTTCCGCCAGAGAAAGTTGAAATCCGTCATCGTTCCAATGGAAGCGTGCTAGAAGTGCGTGAGGCTGAACGTGTTTCTTTGACGTGCTATGCTTATCAAAGTAAACCGCAATCTCAACTGAAATGGTACCGTAACCGCAAGGAGTTGAAAGGTAGGCCGCAACTCTTAACCTTACACTTGTTGCAATGCGTGATTAATTGCACTTTGATACATTAATGCAACGCACTTAGTATAAAGGTATTTGTTATCACAGAAAAATTATGATTTTAGTAGTTATCTAAAGTTTTCATGCAGTTTTACCTTCATAAGTTAATTCAACTGATGTTGGCGTTCTTTTTCAATTAATAACGACAAAACTTTGGGCTTTATAATTAATGTACTCATAAGAATTTTGATTTATTGTAAGTTTACCGTATTTTAGGAAAGGTGTTTGGTGGGTTGTTTTAGAGCAACGCCACAATGGGCTATCTGCTGTGACCACCGCGGGGAATCTAACCCCGGATTTTAGCGTTGTAAATCTGTAGACTTATAGCTGTCCCACCGGAAGACTTTCAAAAAGCAGAGAAAATAAATGTAATATAATAGTGAGGACGAGTAAACAGGTTTCATCAAGTGGGTAAATAACCTGAAGCATATGATTTTTCTGTTGTACTGTTTGTTTGATTAAAACAAAGTTGTACAATGAGATATCTCCCCTGAGCCTAAGAATGAATCGAACCAAAACTTATAACGTTATGAGACCTACGTTTTTCCCGGAAGCTTCGTTTTTAAACCCTTTTGGATTGGCAGAATGTCTACTCTCGCAACCACAATCATCTCACGATACCTAAAAGAACGTGATAAGTCCTGTGCTTCCCTTGGAAATGCTTCTTTATCTTCGATCGAGCTCATTCTGATAGCCAGAATTAATCGCTACTGTTTGGCTCTGCAATTTTCATTCTAACGAGCTTCTGTAAAGGACGGCGAGGCTAATTTTAGACCACACAAATCTTGACAAACGTTCCACAGACTGCCCATTGTACGTGGACGTTGGTTTCCGAGACCATGTTTGAGCATGCCAGAGGCATAAAAAATTTATTTGAAACTGTACCGTTGTTCGATATAAATGGCTTGTTTTTATTCCAGTTTCTTCAAATATCTTTCTCACGTTAAAAAAAAAAACAACAGAAAAAAAAAGATTGATTTCGAGATATGTGGCTGGAATTTTACGAGTTTCTTGTTTGTTAGCTTTCTTCAGCTTCTAAACCTTGTTTATTATTTTATTAATGACACTGTGAGATATGACCAGTTTCATCTCAATGGATTTTTCAGCGTGAGAAATTTATCTTTCGTAACCATAGCATCCACCTTGCTGATGAGAGCGTTGCTCCGGATTGACTTGAGTTGTAATATCAGAGCCTTTTGCTGTAACAAACGCTGTGTTCTGCGAATTTCTTCCATGAAGAGCACTAAAGACTCTTTTTCTCGTTATATGAATATATTTCTTTGCAAAAGCTTTGAAATATTAAGCCTCTCCTTGGTGGTATTGTCCTGTCAAATGATCAGAAATATACCTTGAACCAACTCTATAGATGCTCATTATGTCTGTGATGTCATGATTTGCATTCCCAGAGACAGACCACTGCATTAGCATATAAAAATTGCCCATATAACATGCAAGTAACTTTCTCTATCAGAAACATTAACCCTAAAAATAAAAATATACGTACTTGTTAAGTATAAAAACAATATAGGGACTTAAATCTTATTTTGTCGCTGTCTTGAAACAAACTTAATATTGTAGTATTGAAGGTGGCATGTTACGAACTTTATAAGAAAAATCCAAAATCCATAAGCATAACACACTTATAATAAACTATTTTTACATTTTTAATACACCATTCATTACCTCCTATTCCAGTGGTCACAGTCGTGTATGTATGCTAAAACTATTTGCATTACTTCTACTTAACATATTTTATTGAGAAATCAGTAACAGTTAATATAATGATACATATCATTTCATAACGTTTTATATATATATGTATATGTGTGTATGAAGTTGTTTTATTGTGTAACAACCGGTTTAACTTGCATGCCGATCGAAATATTTATTTCATCAATATATAGCATTGTAATCAATAAATAAACGAGCACCACTCTTGTAAGAGAGGGAAATAGTAACAACTGGTGATTATTCTTAGAAATACTAGTAATTTTAGCAAATAATTTTTATTGTTGTTTATTTCACTAAATACTGTCGTAAATGTAATGAACTTATCCGATTGAATTTATTCGTGTTTCTTTTTATAAAAATCTGACAAAAAAAAGTATGTGATATATAAAACATTGTCTATATTATCTAACCTGGCAATTTAAGAACCACATGATGCAACAGTGAATACTACGTAATCAAAAAATAATAATTAAGACTGAGAAATGACATTTATGTGTGAATTAATGTTAATTTTGTTATGAAAAAAATGTTTTCTAGAATGGTAGAAAGACAGAGAGCAAAATCACGAAAGTATTTTGTAAATGGAATTTTAGGATGAAGAGCACTATACTCGATTAATCACTTGAGAAAGGAAAATGTTCGAGATATTAACTGGAAAAAAAATGTTTGTTGATATAGTTATAGCTTACCTGTTTTGTTAAAAGATCCGGTGCCATACGAAGTGGAAGACCTGAGAAACAAATTATTCACAACCTTCAGTACAATCACTATTCATCCTAAACTAGAAGACAACAACGCCACCTACACGTGTGAAGTTGTACACCCTACTTTGAAAACTTCGTTAACAGCCACCGTTAGAATAAGTGTTTTGTGTAAGTTGTATTTGATTTCAAATTTTTCGAATACCGAAATTGTATCTATTTTAGTCAGTATAAAAGCAGAATTTAGTTATTAATGTACTGTTTCAATATTTATTTAAATATAGTTTTCATGCTTAGAGGAACGAATTTTTTATGTTGATACGATTTATTAAAATTGTAATCAAAGTATGTATCAATTAGATGAGACTTGGAATTTCTTTAAGTGATATAAAACATATATTTTAAGTCTCATATGCTACAAAATACTTTAACAGTTAAAGTTAATTTTCTTCAACCAGCACGTTCTGTGAAAACAGCATTAATCGTTATTTTAGCGAAACGTATAATTTCCGTATCTCCATGAATAATTCGATAAAGGAGCAACCTTTTTTCTCATTATTGCTTTTTAACTCATCCAGATCCTCCAGAGCCTCCGGAAATCGAAGGGTACAATGAACAGGACATTGTTCAAATAGGTGATACCTTAACATTGGCCTGCATATCACGTGGCGGCAACCCACCGGCAACATTAGTATGGTTTAGGAATGGTGTTCAGGTAGACAAAACATTTTCAGTTATAGGTCAAGAGACAACAAATAAGCATATTTTCCGCGTAACAGCATCAGACAACAAGGCCGTTTATCGTTGTGAGGCCTCAAACAGCGTAACTCTACAACCTCTGAAGGCATCATTGACCCTCAATGTTCTTTGTGAGTACTTTCTACCAGATTGTATATAAAATAGTAGCGTAGCATACAGTTTACTACTTTTTATTAATCTAGGATTAATAATTTCCCAGGTAAGATTTACATTATTTATGTACATTTATATTAAGAGTAATATATTTCAAGATATATAATTATAAATAAAGAACTATATTCAAAAATCCGTATTCCATTAACTGTAGGTAATTGCTCTTACAATCAGAAAACGTTGAAATATCAACTTGAATGTCTAATTGCAACTTAATTTGGGTTAGTCCTTTATTCACTTACATTTTCCATTTGTCATATTTTATGAATGGAACCCTTTTAATTTCCAACAAAAATGTTTATTTATATTGTAATTACCTATATTCTATATACGCTATAATTGCTTCATTCGCTTTTCATCTCAAGCCTCAATTACCTTTGGTTCTTTACCCACTCATAAACCATGCCATATAATAAGAGATTTTAGAAACGAATATTCATCTAGGCTTTCTGCTTTGATATAATTGCAAATAGATGTATAATCCCACCAAATCATAGTGAAACCTCAATAAATTATGATGGTTTTAAAGATACTAATACAACTTTTATGCGTTCTTTTAAGCCTAAGCAAATTAAATTCAAACTCTCTTAATATAATATTCACCATACACAAATAATTATTATATAAATCATTTAAAAAATATATTAGCTGACAATATCTACCAAACTTTACAAGTAAAATAATCCTTGGCATCTTACAACAGTCAAACTAAAGTTTCCGGTTATCAGAAAATAGTAGTATAAAATACAATGTTCTTTTACCATGCAAAGAAAATAGCAAAAACGGTAGTTCACAGAATTGTGATACAAAAGTTCGTGGCTAATTACTGATAATATTGATACAGTACAAAGTAAAAAAGTATTTGAATTTTTTTTTGCTGTTGTATTTCATTTTTTCTTACAATTCTTATAAAAGATATTTGGTGGTTAAAGCTAATTTTCTGACAGATCATTGTAGAGAACTGAAAGTCCGTTAATTCTATTAAATATTATAAGCTAATGGAGGTATAAAAAAGTTGCGATATAAAAAATGTTTTGAGTTTGATCCTCCTTATCTGTTCATTCAACTAACTACTTCGAATAATCCATTCGTTATATTTCAATTCATAATTTTATTTTGTAGCTAGAATATTTTGCTATAATATTTAATCGTACTTAAATATAACTCATTTCATCTATATTATCTCATTTTTAAATTGTTAAGTATCACTAGAAATTCTTGCTTTTAATCTATTAAAGCAACACATCGATGAAAAGAAAATTCAAAATAACTAATCATTGCAGACTTAGTTATCAAGCATAAACAAGAATAGTTGAATTTTTTCAACATCTTCAAAAATTATTTAATATAATACTGTTTTTCAAAACTCTACTATAATAATAATTGCACTTAATTTTAAGAACGTATAGGTCTAAAATGTGGGACAAGAACAGTGTGTAAATATTCTATAGAATTATGTAACGTTATTGTGTGCTGTACAATGAATAAAAATATTAGAAGAAACTAACAAACTTTAGCTGTTGGTGAACGAGATAAACATGGATACCTTCAAAGTAAGAATTTAGTTAAAATTTTCACTCTTTTTCACTCAAACCTACTTAATTCTATGTGTAATCTGAAGTTAAGTAGCGAAAATACATACTTTACTACTGATTGAAATATATAGTTTTAATGGACAGATATTTTTTTACGTGCTTTTGTTAATCTCTCTCTCTGAATATTCTAAAGCTTGAAGCTCTTTTCATAAATGCTCATTTTTTCTTGTGCGTATTTAACATTTTAAAGAAGTCCTGAATAACCAATT